GTGTGTGTGTGTGTGTGTGTGTGTGTGTGTGTGTGTGTGTGTGTGTGTGTGTGTGTGTGTGTGTGTGTGCGCGCACGCGTGCGCGTTCAATCAATCAGTCAATCAATCAATCAATCAAGCAATCCCCCCCCCAAAAAAAACAATCAAACCAATCAATCAATCAATCAATCAATCAATCAACCAATTAATCGATCAATCAATCAATCAATCAATCAATCAACCAATCTATCCATCAATCAACCACTTAATCAATCAATCAATCCCTCAAATAAAAAAAAAAAAAACAAACATAAAATACTTGGCAATGGTTCAATACAACAAAAAAGAGAAAAGTAAAAAAAAAAAACAATGAAAGGGGGTCCATTATTTACCTCCCCCCCTCTAAAATGGACCTCCCCATTTTTATTTATTTTTATTTTTTTTCAATGTGGGGGGGTGGGGCCTCGGGTGCCCGCCCGGAAAACCGACCCCGACCTCGGGTACACCCCTTCCCTCGCCCGCGGCACACCTTTTTCGACCGCGGCACATCTTTTTCGACCGCGGCCGCCGCGGTCATGACCGCGGGCCCGCAGTCGACCGCATGGGCCGCGGTGGTGCCCGCAGTGACCGCGGCCTCGGGGGATACATAGGGGATGGGGAAGGAAAGTTATATTCAAAAGCAACAATTTTTCGTCATGAAATTCAAATATAAGGCATGTGCGTAGTATTCGAATAGAACACATATTCGTTATATTCGAAATGCCCTTATATTCGAAGAAAATGGTCTAACTCTTCGAAAACCGATATTTTCGCAAAACTCAAATACAATGGTTGTGCATTATGTTCAGAGGAAGGCGGTAGTGTCGACCATTGCATGCCTTCAATTAGGCATATATCCACCTATGAATCCCCCGTGGTCGCGGTGGCCACGGTCTCGGCCGCGAGGCCCCGCATTTGTTGTTCTCTTCTCCCTCTCTGCCTACGGTTTACCATGTGGCTCCCTTTGACGATATATACATATATATATATATTAACCAAGAGTTCACTATTACAGGGGGTGATACGAGTGCAATGAACCCCGTTGGGAGAGAAGCTCGTTAATGTCCAGATACAGTATGTCTCAGCACTGTCTCCATGTCTCCAAACATAGTTGTAGACATTAGGTAGCCCAATGCCTGGTCACCAGAAAAGAGGATGGTAGGAGGGGGATGAGACTTGGAAGGTGGAAGAGAAAGTAATCATCAGCATAACAGATAGATCTCCCTCAATAACCCCCTTCCTCTTCACTGTCTTCAGGCATCTCCCTTTGCAACATAACCAGACAGTCTCCTCAGACAGAGTTAGACTCCTCTGACACAATCTGACAAACAACAGGTATCATCATGGCGCTTGTCAGCGCAAACCTACGAATCCCCCCCGACCGCGGTTGCCGAAGTCACGACCACGGCTTGCAGTCATGGCCGCGACCTCGCAGTCATGACCACGGCCGCAGTGATATTCGCGGCTGCATAGCGGCCAGAGGGGTCGTGGATCGGGGGTGGGGGTTGTGGATTGGGGTTCCGGAACCCCAACCTTACCCCCTAGAGAAAAAATAGTGAAAAAAAAACAATTTTTGGGGGGGTGGGGGTCGGTGTGTGAAAAACAATTTTCAAAAAACAAAAATGAAAAAAAAACGATTGATTGATTGATTGATTGATTGATTTTCTATATGTCATTGACTAACCTTTTGATTGATTGATTGATTGATTTTGGTAATTTTTGTATATAGACTAATTTTTTAATTGATTGATTGATTGATTGATTGATTGATTGACTGATTGATTGATTGATTGATTGACTGACTGATTGATTGACTGATTCAATTTGATTTATTGATTGATTGACAGCCTGATTGATTGATTGATTGATTTGGGAGGGGGAGCCCGCCCCCCCCCCCACTAATTCTAGCATTTTTAATTTTGTAATTGTGTATC